CAGGAGCGCAGCACCCAACCCGGGCCCTCACCCAGCTCCGAGGGGTTGGTGCTGGCAGCGTGGGTGGCAAAGCCGGGCCGCTGCACGTTGTTGGTGACCTTCCAGCGGACCCGGTCGATGCCCTTGAAGTTGCCGTTGCGCAGCATGGGCGTGTCCAGGTGGTCCGAGGCCATCAGGCTCTCCCGCAGCATGTAGTGGTCCTCCTTGAAGCCCACGATGTGGCCTTCGGGACAGGTTCTAGCGTGAGGCCCCTTGCCAGGTCCCCCACCACCACCACCCTCAGGTGCCGCCTAGGGCCTCCCTCCCCTGTTCCGGACTCAGCCCTCCTCCCCCCCGGACCCCCCCTTCATCCTGGGCAAAGAGTGGTCAGAGCACGCCCCCCCCCCGCCGCCACCCCTGTCGCTGCCAGGCCCGTACCTCGGTTGCAGCAAGGGAGAAGTGCCAGGCAGGCCTAGGGGACAAGGGGTGGGATGAGGGCTGGGATAGCGGCCCAGCCAGTCAACCCCTCTGGCCACCACCCCACCCTCCCACAGACATGGTCCAGAGGGCCACAGTGCCTCCCCCAGACCCCGGGATAGCAGCAGGGATCTAGGTGTGGGGCACAGAGGGTGGTACAGAGGGTGATGGGGCAGAGTTCCCAAAGGGTGTGCCAGGGGACCCAGGCCTTGCAAGACCCTCTGTAAAGTAAAGGCTCTATAATCACACCCACTGGGAGGCACTGAGCTCATTCCCTCCTATGGCTTCACTCTGCATCCAGTGGACCCAAGGCGCTGAGGAGCCTGCAGGGGTCCTGAGAGCTCAGACCTGTTTGGTCTCAGAACTCTCTTTCTCTGTGACTCACACTAATACCCCACAGCCCTGGAGGTTCCTACGGAGTGTTGCCTCTGCCCCAACAGCCCAGTCTCCCGGGCTGTGCCACCCTCCACGCTTCCTGCCTCTTGTCTGTTGCCGCAATGCGACTGCCAGCTCCCGGTGGGAGGGCTGTGGGCTCCGGGCCCTTTGCAGGTGGCTGACCCCAGGGCAGGTGCTCCCAGACATCCAGCCGCTGATGTGGGCAGAGCCGAGGGGCTGGGGGGAAGGGGAAGGCATGAGAGCTGGACAGAAGATGTGGCTTCCCCTGGCCTCTGACAGCTACGAGGACCCTGGGGAGGGGGCGGGGACTGGTGGGGACC